AAAGACCAAGGCATTCCACAGGCATTTCCCTGGAATGCGGGAGCCGGTATTTTGATGAGAAAGGAAGGGGAAAGTCTCCTGGCCTGCGCTGTGCGAACACAAGGTGGCACTTGGATTACGTGGACAGAGCGGAGCCTCCAGCRGGGAGCTCTCCTGCTCCACGAGAGAGCTCTAGTTCTGCACTTTTACAGGAAAATGGGAGAAACTGTATGAAGACGAGCGACTAACATTATGACAAAGTATTTCTTTATGGGTTGTGTTTGCTTTTCAATGGCAGCTCTTTGTGCTGCAGAGTGGTGCGATGCCTGCTTGGCTAACGAGCCTGAAGGCATCAGGGTTAGCATTGCGCTGCTCTCCGTGGTGAGGAAGCAAACGGGCATCACTGGGAGCTCCGAGCACCCCTGCCATAAGCACTGTCACCTCTCCTGTCCCYGGTAAGACATTTCGTAGCTAATCACCTTGTTTTCTTCCATTTGGGATTTGATCTGTTGCTGTGAGTGAGGCTGCCACGTGCAGCTTCTCTGGATGTGGCAGTGGACCCTTTCTGCACCCCACGCTGCCCCACGTAGCCTGTGCCACACGCAGCCTTGCTCCTGTGCAGCCTCTGGAGAGAACATTTTGGCTTTTGCCATTTGTAGGGTTTTTGTCACCAAGGGAGCGAGTGTCACTGTGCAGCGAGTGCTCTGCCTGTACGTTCGCCTGCTGAGCACTGGCTATTTGGGAGTTCTGGCATGAAAATGTGGAGTAAGCCGGCTACAGACTGCCTGTGTCCGTGCGTGTGCGCATTGAGCAAATCTTTTCTGCAGTGGGAACCCCCAGCAAGCCCTTGTGGTGGGTGAAAACCCTGCGTTTCACAGCAGGGCAGCTGGGACAAATTGTGTTGGTCCCAAGTGTGGTTTTCCTCTAATTTAAAAAAAAAAAAAAAAAAAAAAAAAAAGAGAGAGAGAGAGAGAAAGAGAGGCAGGGCAATGTTTTTTCCTGCTGAGAGGCCATTGGATGTTCTGGTGAAGTTGCAAACTATTGCCTGGCAAACAAGGATGTCTCCATCACGTGGGATCCTCTGTGGAAGCACCATCAGAGAAGGAGTAGCTAAGCAATGCCATAATGCTCAATAATTCTGATATCCCTGGAAACTCATCTGTTTGTTTTTTGTTTTACCCTAAATACTTGAAACTTTTAATTTGCATTTCAATCTATTAGCTTGCCTAAATTAGTATTGTAATTTACATTGCAGTGCTYATTCTGTTCCTAGACAAGGGAAGGTTGCTCAGCTCCATGTGCTTATCTGGGCCAGGATGGGTGTGAAGCGAGGAGTCCCCTTTCTGCCTTGTTTCAACTGAAGAGCTTGACTCAAACTGCAGAATTTGTATGAACTGGAAAGGAAACRTTCTTGGAAGAGGAAATTCAGCTCTAAAATATATTTCAAAAGGTAAATKTTGTGTCTTTGTACTTTAGAAAAACAAGAAAAAATTAAGCCTCCTTTCTCAAGAAGGACATTTACCATGTTAGCATGGGAAAGTCCACAATGTCCTGCAAGATCTAGAACAAACCCAAATACCATTTAATGAGAAACTGCCGTGGAGATGTTTCTCCCTGCTCTGAGTGGATTGTGCTGTACGTTTGATTGTGTTCTAACTTTGAAACAATTATGAAAACATTTATGTATTTTTATTAATACTTGTAAATTATGCAGGAGTTTTTACTGGTGAGTTATAGCAGAGAGCAAAGAATAAACATATGGCTGAGTGTTTTAAAGTTCTCTACATAAAAGAAAGTCATGGTTATTCTTCACTTAATTAACGTCGCATTTAAGAGCATATTAGTGTTCCACAAAGATTTAGTGTGCCCTGATGGAAGGGGACAGAGATCTCAAATGACTGAATAACCTTTTCTGGTGTCTTGGAAATAAAAGCATAGTCCAGATTTTAAATATTCCTAATAGTAGCAAACGACTGCCGGATCTCATACCGAGCAAGGCCTGAGAGGAAGACCCTTCTCTGGCCTCAGTGGTGGAGTGGTCCTTGGTGGAGTGAGCCCCGAGGATCCTTGTGTGCTGGAATGACTTTGCCTTTACTCCAGACTGACTCTAGATTTGAGTCAGTTTTAAATAGAAGATCCCGCTCTGTGTCTCGCAAGCCTGTTGTTCAGCAGCGTATCTGTGACATCCATTGCTGGCAGAGCTGCCCTTAAACCAGGGTGCTTGTAGCCCTTTTCATCTCCCATTTTTGTGATCTCCGGTGTGCGTTTTATCCACCAAGAGCCCTTGCCCTTTACCTGAATGGCTCTGCCTGCCCCTGTGTCCGCGAAATGTGCGCTCACCTCAGAGTCCACCAGCACTGACTTCGCTGCATCTGGCTGCAAGTATTTAAAAATACATACCTTCCTGCAAATGGAAAACCAGCCGTCCCTGCTGAATTCCCATCTCCCTTCGCCGTTTACTGTCCAGAGGCTCTGCCTGGGGTTGAGTTACAGAGCCCTCTCAGCTGCAGCTACACGCAGGGCATGCTGTGAAGCGAGCTGCACATTTAACTTCTCCTCTGATCCTGAATTTTCTAGCAGGGTATCTGACTCCTCCAGCTTTTCTTCCCCTTCAGTTCATGCTTTGGAGGCTCGAGGTTGTTGCTAGGCATTTAGCCATCGCACAACAAATCGTTATGTCGGCTGACAGCGCTTTAGCTCAGATCCTATTAACTAGGTTTGTGATGTTGACCAAGTTGTAACTGTTCTGTTTTCACACTTGTCAGGGGTTTGATGGTTCATTTATTTATAAAAGGGCAAAAAATGGAGCGTCTGTGCAGTTTCCTTCCCTTTGCAGGCATCCATCCTCTGCTGGTGTTTCCAGCTGCTCTTCCTCCTTCGGCTGTGCCCAGGCTGGAGCCCTTGGTGCTGCAGCAGGTAAAGCAAGCAGCCCCAGGGAGGTGGCAACCAAACCTGGGGCACCTGCTGGTTGTTAAACCAGCCAGGGAAGTTTTGCAAGAAAAATCCCTTGGATTTTCTGCACACCTGCACTATGCGTGATCAGATTCCGTATTATCCTTGGGGCTCGTGAAAAAGTTGCTGCATTCTGGTCCCGTATGGAAGGGAAGGCTTCCTGTTTGCCATAGGAACCTTGAGGATGAATGTTAAATTAAAACCATCACAGGGACCTGATCTGTGCTCCATGCTGAAGCTTTTGCCAGCTGGTTTACTCAGCTGGTTTCCTTTCCCAGGGTCACACTCCTTCCGTTCCTGAGCCGTTTTACCCTGGAGTTTCCCCCGTGCTGCTCGAGTCCTGGCCACTGCTGCGAGTTTGTGCTCTGGCTTTTAGTAGCACCTTYACATCCACCCACAGGCCAGTCTGTGGTCTGGAAGTGAAACTAGTTGCTTATGCAGAGGTTAATGACTCTTCAGGCCACCCGTGACTGGTGCAATATTTCCTCTCTCAAGGAACTGAGATTGACATTTAATTTTGACCTATTTTGGTTAACAATGCATTAAAAATGGAGCAGAACAAGGTGGATTTGGGGTTCCTTAAGTATAAAATACACCATTTTGCATTAATARGATGGTTTAATTTTGAACCAAATCCTTTGTCAGCTGAAACGTTTGCACTTGGATTTTTTTTTTCCCTCCACTGTTCCATTTTCTTTTCCTTAGCTTCTTATTTTTAGATCAGAACTGGGCTAACATGGGAATCCGGTCACCRGTTGGAGCTGGATATGGTGCGTGGAGCTGGTGGAGGGCACGTGGCACCTGAAGGACTCCCGGGAGGAGCCCGGGCTTGTGGCTGCATGAGCCTCATCCTGGTTGCTTCTGAGGGCATCTTATCTGCTCGTGCTCTTCTGAGGAGAGAGGCAAAACCTTGTGAGGCTCCAGCATCGCAAACCTGAGGCTGCAGCAGAGGTTGAGTCATGGAGGAGGAAGAACAGTATTTTACCTGCCCGGTATGGTTGGAATTGGGGAAACCCATTCATTTATTTATTTATTCATTCATTCTAATAAACCATCAAAGTGCCCATGTGCTCTAAAGGGAGCAATTGGAAGACCAGAACTTGACTCTTTGGTTGTGTCTATAGGGATGGGGATCCCATCTTGCTGCCCTGTGCACACACCCACACTGATCAAATGCTTGGGGGGGGGAAAAAAAAAAAAAACAGGTCTGTCCTGGAAGCATTAGGTCAGCGTTAAATAAAAGTCCAAACCAAACTTGAAAGATTAGGTTTTGGGGAAATTTATTGTAGTCACTATCAGGCTTCTTCTTTTTCAGATGTGCTCGGAGCAGCATCTGGGAGCAGCCAGGCTCCCTGCAGTGAGTGGCCCATCCACGACAGCAGGTCCTGCAGGATGGGGCAGGTCTKCTGAAATGGACTGCTTTGGGTGGCCTGGTCAAGGCTTGTGGCTTCTTATCAAAAACTTACAGCTGCTCTGAATCCAGAAAGGGCCAGAGGGCTTTTTTTTAAAAAAATTTTAATTTTTTTGAGAAGTCTCTCAATTAAGTAGAATAATAACATAATCAAATAAAAAGTGAAAGAAGTCACTAAATGTTTAATATGAACAAAGCCTCCATCAAACTGCCAAGAGAAATAATTGCAAAATGATTTAAGGAACACCCGACTTAGAGATCTGTATCAGCTCTACCTGGATGGTGAATAATACRCTTGGTTTAGTGTTTTAGTGACTTGAATTCAAATGTTAATTCAATGAATTAACTTAGTTGTCATAGATGCTGAAAACATGCCATTATTGTACAGTCATCCTCTAGCAAGGATTGAGCATACTTAACTCGCATAGCTAACTTGTTTGCATATATTTTGCTCTATTTTTTTGTTAAAAATGCTTAAAAATGAGCAAAGTATAGCCTATGGCAAATTGCAGCATTTAAAGTGAGAGAATCCGAAGGCCTCTCCATATCCTCATTCTGATTTCTTACTCTTATCCTTCATAAGGTTTTTAACTTTCCCTAGTGTTGAGGATATAGTGGTAATTTTGTACTAAAAGTGTCCAATTCTTTTTCCAAATTTACGGACTAATTCTTCATTTCACTTTTGTGTTGATGTAGGTATTCAATCCCAGATGATGCAAATTTGAAAACTCCGTAGGTAAGTAAAACAGACATTCCTTTTTTAATCAAAGAGATGAGTAGATATCATATAAGGTTATATAAAGTTAATGGTGTGTGATTTTACTCTCAGTTATGGCCAGTGAATATTGGTTTTCTCGCTGCTTGAARAAGAAGTAAAAAATAGTGTTCCAGAAAAGAAGAAATGAAAATGTTAGCAGCTCAGACTTCCCCATTGGACAGATTTTGTACTTCTTATATGAATCTACTCATATTAATTTTAATCTCCCAGGGCAAGATCCTCAGACAGTGTAAATAATCACAGCTTTGGTGAGATAACTTAATTTTTGCTCAGTGAACTTTCTAATAGAATCAAGAGTTTGGAGGTTGCAATATCAATACAATCTATTTCTTCCTAATGGCCTGTGGAAAATGGTAAGGCAAAACTTGTTTTATGTCTATGCCTATCAGTAAATCTTGCATCCAGGTAATTACRCAATCTTCATTTCCCTGAGTACTTTGTAAAGCTGGTGAATGGATGTAGGGAGGGGATGGAGAGGGTGGTGAGGACGTCGTCTTGAGTATGAACCTCCCAGTGCTAGACACGCCAGCTCAGCTTCTCTGCCTTTGCATTTTGTTTATTAAACACATAACATGTCTTATTTTAGTCACTAATTCTCATTCAGTTCTTTGTTTCCTTTGGGGACTTTTTCTTTGCCAAAGAAAATTCCCTTGCAAACCTRCTGTATTTTAACATAGCTGTTGCTGATTCCAAAATGAGTTTAAAGGCAAATTGCATGTTAATTTCCTGCACTTCAAGCACCTGAGCAAGAGCAAAAGTCTGGGAGCAGATGATGGAGAAACTGCAGAAAGGTGTGACTGCAAATACCTGGCAAAGGCTGCTGCAATTCCCATCGGAGAAGTTTCGTTCTCCAGTAGGACTCAAGTGAAGTAAATGCACTGAAGCTCCAAAAGGGATGATCTTCAGGCAGGGCTTGCAGCCTGAGCGAGGGGGTGCCCTTAGGAAGTCRCATCTTTTACCTGGGCCYTGTGTGCCTTTACTTGCCTAAATGTTRTGCTTGAAATCTAGCCTTTGGGATYGTCCTCTGTTTTGGCTTCCAGTTCTTCAGGTCACTCTCTGTGAATTACTGAAATGTGTGTTAAAATGTGCAAAGCTCTGGCTAATTATGACGTCCTGATTAATTTCAGTAGACAASTGTGGCAGTTCTAATGAATATTAATAGTTCTTAGGCTGGGAGCTGCTGGCAAGAGGAGCGAGCTTTCTGCATGGGTAACGAGGGTGGCAGGGTACTGCAAGGTTGAGCAACATATCCTTGACTTTGCCTGGTGAAGCTTTCAAGTCTTGTTTGCRGCAGAGACTTCCCCGTTACAAAATATAAACTGTGAACAGTTACAAATGAGGTATTAATGTCTCTTATTAATTAAAATCACCCTAAAATCACCRCCACCAGCAACAGAAAGCAAGAATAATTTATTATCATATTTCTGTTTGACATTACCTCGGTTAAAGCACTGGGAATAACATGCCACTTATTGAAAGTTAAGTAATGAGATTTACAATTAAATGACTTTCTGAGAGAACAACAGATTTATATGGTAATAGGGACCTTACCAGGGACGCCGCATCCTCACAAATGCACCTACATGGGCTGCTCTGTTTGCTCCAACTCCGGCTGTAGCTTAAGCCAAGAGAATGAGGAGTTGGAAAGGAAGGAAATTCCATCCCGCCTCCTAGCYGTGTTTTCCTGCGGAGCAGCCAGCGCTGGCGGAGCGCGTCGCGGGCTGCAGAGGTGCACCCGCAGCCTCGGCCAGGGCCGAGTGCCACGCCGCGTTGCACCGTTAATCAGATAGGGAATATTAATCCGGGAGGTCTTTTTGCAAGCTGACAAGTCGATTACTAGCGCAAAGGAGCTCTTCTGTTAAACTGGAGTGAGAGGCTATAAAAACAGTTGGGGTTTTTACCTTGCAGGGATTGGAAACTCAGGCCACGTAAGGAAGAGACTCGCCTGCACTGTGTCCCTGCACTGCACCGCAGGGATGCGGGGGGTGCGGACACAGCAGTGGAGGAGGTTCTCCCGCCTGGCTCCCTCTCGCTTCTGTCAGCAGTCCAGCAAGGGACTGTTTTTGCCCTGCCACTGTAAAAGTAAGGAATGTGGTGGTCTGAGGAGGCACATGTCACACTCAGTGCAACTCCTGGTGAGGAAAATGTGGGAATATGAGGAAGAACTTCTTTACTATAAGGATGACAGAGCTCTGGAACAGGCTGCTTGAAGAGCTTGAGGAGTTTCTTTCTCTGGAGATCTTCCAAACCCACCTGGATGTCACCCTGTGCCACATTGGGTCTAGGTGACCTCTGCCGAAGCAGGGGGATTGGACTAGATGAKCTCTAGAGGTTCTTTCCAACCTCAACCATCCTGTGTTTCTTCAAAGTGTGTCCTCATGAAGATGGTGATGGAGCAAATGCTGGGAGTGAGAAAAAGATGAAGTCCGTGATTCAGCTATAATGTGCTGCTGTGGTGTCATTGCACGGCGTTGGAAGTGGCATAATTCATTTCACTATCAAAAATCTATAGCATAGACAAGTCCTGGAGGCAGAACCATAAGAACACATACAGAGATGCTTCTCAGTCAAGTTGTGTCTAATAGAGAAGAGGGTCCTGCACGAGCTGTATGTTGAGAGGGAACAGGTCAAAATCTCTTTCTGTTTAATCTCAAGTACTCAGGCCATGATCTTCCCGCTGTCTGTGGGTAAGTTCCCAAGTAAGCCTTGTAAGGGGGAGCTCTGCAGATCTGCAGGAGAAGCAGAAAGTGACACCAAGGCTTCCCGGGAGACCTCAAAGTTGCCTGCAGCTGGTTTGCTTTGCTGGCACATGAAGAGATTAAAGGAATATGATAGACTCTGCCTCATCTGCATCTTAATTAAGAGAGCCTTTGAGATGTTTTTGTGGAAAATCCCCTAAGTTTATTACTCTGAGAGGTGTATAGTGTATGTATTTGTCAAACAACGGAAACAAGCATGCAGAGTCGGGTCACAACTCATGCTTTTTGGAGGCTGGATGAAGAAACGTTGACATTAATAAGAGACCAAGCACCTTCTCCAGCCAGACTCCTCGAGGGAGCTCCCTGCTGGTCCTTGGTGCTTGTGCTTATCATGATCCAGGGTTACTCTTTTATTGGTTATCTGTCTTCAAAGTAAGCTTGTTTGAATCTCTTGGCTTGTCCATAGGGTGTGGGGAGTGCTCACGAGCTGGGGCAGCATATTGAGCAATTCTTGTTTTGGGGTGGCAAGGAGGAGAGGATCTTTCTTGCTAAGTGCCATGACAGCCTGAAGCTCCCTGTGGTTGGTTGGGCCTGGCCTTGTGTTCATCTTCATGCAAATTTCTGCAGGAAATCTCTGGCAGCAGCTCCTCTGTGTTTGTGGGCAGTGATTAAGATATCTGAAGCTCCTGGCATGTACAGGCTTTGTAAGAATCAGCCTGAAAAGAAAAAAATAAATTAGAAAAGCATAAGGAAGCGGGGAGAAAATATGTTTTGGTTTGGAGCCTTTCTTGGATGGGGGTGGTTTTTGGAACCACCTTTCCCAGCTTAGCACAGGAGAAATAAAGCTTAGATTTTACTTCTGAGGCTAACAAGAGCAAAACTAGCCTACAACTTTTCTCGGTTTAGGGAGGCAGTGTTTGGGGCACCCTTGGCAACAGTAGTAAGGTTTATGATAGAGGAGAAGTATGAAAGAATAACTTGAGGTAAGAAAGTGAGATAGAAATGGGGCTGTAAAAATGGCATAACTGTGTTAGCATATCCAGGCTAGCATCTATGATAAGTCTTGGCACATGAGTTGGATGGTTCGTCTGTCTGGTGGCGGGATCAGGTTCTGCCTGTCACCTCCTCCAGCATTTGTACAATGAATTGTCCTCTTCGCTAGGAAAAGCAGAGATCCCGGAGTCCCCATCTGCTTGGTTGGGCCTGGCCTTGGAGATGGACTTTGTGTGCTTGGAGATGGACTTTCCCTTTGCTCTTGCATGACTTCTGTGTGGAACCATAAGCTAGGTTTGAATGTGAGCTCAGTGCCCTATCATGCCAACAAACCCTAGCAGATCTCTTTGAGAAAGTGACCTGTTCTGCTTGTGAAATGGTCAGCAATGATAACACTGGCCAGGGAGAAACTGGCGACATGGACATGGTTTTTAAAGCTTTTAGGACAGGAAAAGATGTAATAATCTCCCCAATAAGCTCCAGCCTAAAGACGTAACTGCTGACTTTCTATTTTCAGAGCTCTGGCAAGCCAAACACGGAGGAAATTCCTTCTCCAAAGAGTAACCTTTAATTACATAAATCATAGGAGGGAGGCTTGGTCAGATAGTATCATTAGTCTTTGCTCAAATTTTTTGTATATATTGGTTTAACCCTACTAAAGTCAGCAGAATTATGCAAATGTACCTGGCAACCAGCCCAATATAATGTTTAAAGCATCTGCTTTAATCACAGACTGCCGTATTCTAAAGGAAAAATATTATTGACTACAAAAGCTGTTCTCTACCAGAAAAAAGAAAAAAGAAATTATACTAGAGGAAATTTAAATCAACAGAAAACCCTTACGAAAAATTCCTATCCCAGATCTATCAATTTGCTTCTAAAATTGTCTATAAATCTTCTTGGTAGTCAATTTTATAATTCCTATGTGACAAAATAAAGCATGAAAAAGATAGTAAAATAGGCAAAAGATTTTTTTTCCTTTCAAGGCAGAAGGCTGACCATGAATTTTATTAATTCTGCCTAATATCCTATCTTGACAGTTGTTATAATAACTTAATATTCATCTACAGAAAGCAGAACTGAGAAAACAAAACCAAAAAAGGTGGTTAGGCCTGTCCTTATAATGTATAGGAAATATACTGTGACCCACCAYTGCCTTTTACAACAGCAAGGGAAGTGATATAGGGGGATCAGCCTCAGGGACACGATTATGTTCCAGAACATCATTTCGTGGGTGTGAAAGAACTGGTATTACTCTAATTTCCACAAATAAAATTTAGTGTGTTCCACTGTTTTTAAGATGAGATGAAATCAGGAAATTGAAATAAATGATATAGTTTTGCATATTTGCCAGAGAGTAGCTTTCTCCATTAAAGAATATGCTTTATATAAGGGTGTGTTACAGGCTTACAAGCAGCGTCTTAAATCTRCAAAATGTGCTGCTTTATTGTGTTGAGACTCATCCTAAAAGAATATTCTGACTGACTTTTTTTCTCTCTCTCGAACTTTGAGCTTTTGATTTTGGAATACTCAGTAAGAGCATCTACAAATGTGGGATTTTTTGATGCAGCAAATCATATTCCTTAGACTAAAAAGTTACAGCCATGTTCCTAACCACAAAAAAGTTTGTGGTTTTTTTTTTTTTGTCCCCAAATTCTGTATATTTTGTGTATATTCTGTATAATTCTGTATCGTTTTCTATATAATTTCTATTAGTTTAAAAGGAGCCCTTATCTATACACAGAAAGGAGATGAGACCTTTTTGCTCCTATGAACGATATAAAATGATAAATTACCTTATTCTTAGCAGCCTGGATTTCTTAAATTCCTCCCTGAAACTATACTCTCTTCAACCAGAATATCAGCTAGAAAAATACACMCAGAGTTTTCTGAGCAAGTCCTGAACAGCCAGTGCCAAAACCCAYGTACCAAATGGTCTTGTGAAATCCCAGGCATCACGGCTCTTAGGGAATCAACATTAGTTAACACCTCTAAGGCAGCTTCAGGTATCCRTTTGCCCCTGTTTCCTTGTAGGGGTGGGAACCCTCAGCATTTGGAGGTTCGTTGTGAAGGTAAACAAACMTTATTGCTTTGGACATTTCCGTTTGGGAAGGTTTTTACGGGTTAGTCTTGACTGGTGGATGCTACAGCTGCCTTTTAGTACCGATAAATGTGAGCTGCAATTAAGCTTTCTATGGAACCAGATGGATGAAACAGTAGCTTCCATCCAAAAGTGCTGTTGTGTGTCACGGCTTAAAGTAATATATGAAAGGCGCCCCAGGCAGGGGAGGCTTCTTCTATATTTGATGGTTTTTAGCTGGCAGGTTGGTGTGAGCCTCGATGGGGCCAATATAGCAAACAGGTCAGTTGCAAATTCCTTTACCTAAAGCTGGTGCTCAGAAAGCAACAGTGAGACACTAACTTTTTAGCCTTCTGTATTAATTAAAAGAATAACCCTTTCATTTAATTTACCTTCTAGTATATGGCAAGGTTCACATCTAACTCCTGYAAATTGCAGCAACTGCCCCTCCATGAAACACGCTGAGGAGCTGAGGGCTCTCCTGGCAATTTTTTCTTACACTTCAAAAATCCCGCACCATCCTCTTGGGTAGTTTGAACAGAAACCTAAACTTTTGGCTTTGATGAAAATGCATTTGGTCWTGCCAAGGGATGCTAAGGAGGGAGCTGCAGCAGTCTTCCCATTCTGGTGTGCAGCCGGATGCAACTGGCATTACTGGAAATAGCAAGGGGGCTATTTCCACTAGCCAATCAAACACTTTTTTTAAAGTCTATTTTAAATATTAGTATTTATTCCTGTCACTTATTATAGGTTTCTCTGCCATATCGTGTGCAACAGGGTCCTTGAAATCCCCACCAGTGTGTGCAGGATCCGCCGAAGCTGTCACTGCACAGGCTGCTTGGAGCAGCCCAGCAGATATTTGCTGACAAACCYTTTCAATATAATCCTTTATTATCTAACCGCAGTCAAGAGCCTACTTCACATGAAATATTTTCAGCTACAGATGGCAAAGCCTGAGAGCGAGCCAACAACAGTGCAAAAATACATTTATATCAATGCCGAAGCCGTCAGCCAGCCAGGCACCGGCTCTGTTTGTCATGTGCCAGGGGTATGATCAATAATATTTCAAATTCATTAGAGAACCACATGGACAAAACTGGCTCGCCTTCTTATTAAAATGTTGTAATCATATTGAACATATTTGAAATGTTTTGTGTGTAGGACAAAGAGAAAGGAGGTAGTCAACTGTAGTTGAGCTTATATAGATAAAATATGCTTTCCATTTTCAGAGGTTCATCAAATATTCTTAGTATTTTAACATTTTTGTACATTTTGTACTGTTAAATTGTGAAGATTTCCTTCCTCTCTCTAAAAGAAGTCTGAAGATTCCAGATTTATCTTATTTATTTGTTTTCTTCCAGGTTTGTTGGATTTAGAACACTAAAAATGGTCCTGTCTTCTGCTTGTGCTCTGGAGGCTCTCGGTGCTCAGAGCTCCTCCAAGTGTGGGCACCGCACAGAGCAGGAGGGAGCTGCAGCTTCTTGCTGCTGCCTCTCTGYATGACCCAAAGGAACAATTACAGCTGGAAGCTTAGATTTAGCAAAGGTAACCAGAGTGTTGAGAAAGCAGTTTTGCATAATTAGGAAAACAGTGCAGAACTTTTCTTCCTGACATGACAGTTTATGTTAATATAATTGATTTGATGAAAATGGGAGAGTGTTATGCATGTAAATCTGAAATATCCATCATGGGGCTAGGAACAGGCAAACAACCATATTGGTTCCTGACCAAAAAAAAAAAAATCTAATATGAAGTGCATGAAATGTGTCATTTGCGTAACAAAAATGAAATATTGGACGGGAAGCGAAAATAGCATACATTGCACCAGGAAACTTTCATTCTGGCTTGTGTCATTTCTAATTTTGCTCGGGATTTATGCAACAGACTGGCACATCTCCCCAATGTTAACAGGCTGCGTGTAAAGAAAAGCTGTGCAGGATACTCTACCAATTCTTGTAGTCAAGAAGAGGCATTTATTGAACAAAGTCCTTCAAGAAAAGAGGAAAGAAAATTGCTGTATTGAACAGCTTCCAGGAAATGCATGGTTTTAATTGACAACAAGGAAAATATCACAGGGATGAAACCCTGAAGCTCAGCAGAAACCTGTGCAATGTAAGTGTTTAGGTAAAAYGCTGTGCTCTGGACATGAAGGCTGGGCACCCTCCCGGGGATGCCCGCGTGGTGCAGCAGTGTGGAGTGGGCCTCCTTGTGCCAATGCCCGACCTGGAAAACGGGAGCCCTCCCAGGGAATGCCAGAGGGTGCGTGCGCCTACGGCTGCAGGGAACAAGAGAGATTATTGTGATATGCCCTAGGCTGGCTTCTGGTAAGTGTCAGGTATAAGGTCTAGGATTTGTCCAGGTATAGGTACTCATATTTGAACTAGTTCATATTTAAAAATAGTTACTGAATGCTCTGTTCTTTTGAAAATTTTATATTTAGCATATGGATCCTGGCGCTTGTTAGCTAACTTTTCAGCAGAGAAGGCATTTCTGATAAAATGTATTTTTTCCTAAGATTTTTCCATTAGAAAAATCAAAATAAAGCATGGAGGGAAACACTTTACCCGCATGCAGCAACAGACATTGAGCCACATGTGCCAGAGGCTGCGGGCGTTCAGCAGAGCTGGGGCTTTGGCGCGTGGTCCCTCTGCTCTCCCGTGGGTCAGACCTGGCTCCCGTGGGTCAGACCTGGCTCCCGTGGGTCAGACCTGGCTCCCGTGGGTCAGACCTGGCTCCCGTGGGTGTCTTGGCTGGGTGGCTGTTACAGCCAGGAAAAGCCTGGCACTAGTGCCTGAGCCGAGTCGATTTTCCCTGGGCAGAAAGGAGGATGTTACATACCTAACCATGTGGGTACGCAGATGTAACATAGCATTAAGCTGCTTGGCTATGAAAGATATCAGTGTTTTAATTTTTCATGCTCATTTGAGATTGATATATGGTTCAGTATTAGACTATATTCCAAGACTGAAACCTGAGGGATTTTTTTATTCCATTTTATCCTGAAAAAAATTAGCTCAGATATTGCGGTAAAAGTGACCCTCTTTCCCCTGGCCCTTGCCCTAGGGAGGCTGCAGAGGAAGGGTTTGCTCAGACCCTCTGCCCAGGCTGGCAGAGCTAGACCACAGCTGTAGCCTTGGCTGTGTAGGGTCAGGATGGAATAGGGCTTGTTTAGCCTGGAGAAGATTGAGGGGCTCTCGTCAATATGTATAAGTACCTGAGGGGAGAATGTAGGGAGGAGGGGACCAAACTCTGGTGGCCAGCGACGGGACGAGGAGTAGTGGGCACAAGCTGAAACACAGGAAGTTCCATCTCTATACGAGGAAGAATTTCTTCACTGTGAGGGTGAGAGAGCCGTGGCACAAGCTGCCCAGGGAGGTTGTGGGGTCTCCTTTTCTGGAGGTCTTCAAACCCCATCTGGATCTGACTGGRTGTCACRTGCTCTGGGTGTCCCTGCTGGAGCAGGGAGTTGGACTAGATATAGAGGTCCCTTCCAACCTCAACCATTCTGTGATTCTGTGACGGAAGGAAAAAAACTTAGTGAGTCTCTCTAAGGACCACAGTCTGTGCATGGGCCTTGATAAAGTGGTGTCTCTCCATACCAATKCATAGCACTAATACAAAAATGGCTAATAGGAGTCATAATAGGAAGAATTTATGATATGGGCTTCTGTGATACTGTAATTCCATATGGTCTTTGTAGAAAGCCCTTGTATAAAAGCAATAGTATTATCCATCTTCATGCTTGCTTGTAAAATCAGTGCCTTATATTTGTAAAGATAAGCTGCTGTATTCTGCTGTCTTGGATTCACATGAGACTGTGTAGTTTCATATTTATGCACAACAAGCTACTAGAAACCAAAAATACTTTTTTGATGGGGGATTAAAAGATGGATAATACCGTTTGTCTAACTTTTCCACCAGTTTCTTWGTTCCAGTGGATCAGGGTGGATAGATTAACCTACAGAAGGGACAGCAGTGAAGTATTGTCTGCTTAGCTTAATGCTCATAATATCCCCCTGCAGAAATCCCCTATATGGCTAATAAACATTTAATGAATGATGTTCTGTCTGATAACAAGATATTAATAACTCTAGAGAAGCTCTGTTGGACTTCAGCTCCTGACAAGACCTGGAATTTGTCTTAACGTATCATCGAGAAGAGTGGCTTTTATTTTTCTTTCTGACGTATGCATATGGATATATTGCATGCACTAGTGCCTTCTAGCAAAACAACATTAAAATATAAGTAACAGTTTAAATCAGCTATAAAATTGGATGAGCTAGAATTATTTCAGGTTCTATGGATTCCTTCATCTTAAACTTCAACAGCCATCTATTCATTGTCCCCTTTGGGACATCTCTTATTAGATTTTACTGCCATCATTTTTGTTTCATTTTTCTTTTCTTCTGTGACTCCTCCACCAGCCTTGACTGTTATGCAAATGTTTAATCTTTTGAAGTTACTAACCTTTCATCAAAAGCTTCAACTCTGGCAGGTGAGGTTTGGAAGGTATGGCCCTGAATAAGAAGCCAGGATTTAGTTGCTTCCTTAAAGTCCTGCAATTGTCACGGGCAGGGCAGAGCAGAGGGGCCAAACGCCCTCGTTTCTCATGTGTTCACCCAAACAGAAAAGTTTCAAAGGGTTTTTTTCCAAATAACRTTTGCGCCTGTTTTTTATGACAGGATAAACCTTCAGGTACAAACTTGTATACCTTGAAATTGCTGTGGTGAAAGCAATTCACTTTTGAGTCAAAATAACTTCACTTTTTGAGTCTTCACTGAGAAGAGCTTGGCTTCTATTTCAATGYTTGCATGAAAAAGCTTTTTTATCACTAGCTGAACTGAACTGRTTGAAATGCACTGCTCTGTAGTTTGGGGGAGCAGAAGCACACAAACGAGATGCAAGCAGAATGCACACGTGTGTTAAATTTGATCCCCAGTGATCTGTGCTAAGTTGTCCTTCACGTTTCTGGTTGAATCCCTCAGTGTTTTGATGAAAATGTCTATTTTGGGACTTCTGTAGGGCAGGAATCCCACCCACGACTGCTGCTTGGACAAGTCAGTGAAGCTAGATGAAGAAATCTGTCTTACTATTTCTCTGAGAAATCTATGGGTTAAGGATTCAGGTCTAGATTTGTTTATTTTTAAGACCAGATGATGACCATATGTTTTTGCATAATCTAGGCTATTAAATTTTGCCAGACATTTTGATATCAGATATTTGCATTATAGTGGCTGGGCAGCTGAAAGTTTTTTAACTCTTGGTCAACCTAGCTTCAACCATTATTTACAGCTATATTTGATTAAGAAACCAGTCTGAAAAGAAGAATACAATGAATACTGGATACACCAGTAAAGAGTATTAAAACAATATTACTGTTAACTATTGGTACTACACTTTGAAAGGTTCTCTTTTTTTTAATGATGTTACCTCTGATTTTGTATCTTTGTTTACTTATTAAAGCCCATTGGGTAACCCTACAAGGAGAGAGCTTGGGCATTTGTATTACCCACAGTGGGTAGAAATGTTCACTGTTTTTGTAATGATAATTCATGAATGATGCATCACTTGTAACCTAAACTTTAGATAATATTGCATGTATAGTAAGTCCTAGTGAAAAAAATCAATGTGACATGTATCAATTAGAGGATTTTTAGAGATCAACATGAAATTAATGATGACTTGRGAAGCAGGATATTTAATTTACTACATCGTACAGCGCTGATTGTCATCTTTGAAATAGAGAGGTATGGATTACTGTAATCCGTAATTACAGTAAATGGAGCTAGACAAAGAATATTATGCATAAGAAGGCATGGTATCTCCATCTGCATCCCAGATTCTGTGAGGGCTCCTTGCTGACTTGCTGACTTCCTATTGGTTTACTAGGCAGAAAAAAACAGCTATACTCAAAGGTTTTCAATCTCTTCCTCTTCCTTGCTGCGTCTCTAGTATGGAGGTCCCTTAGCAAAAGGCCAACTACAAGCTATCCCCCTTTGCTAGTGGGGACTGAGCGGAGGTTTCTGCTGAGCACATTGCAATAACCAGCCAGGCTGTAGCTGTTGGCTTGTAACAGCCCTAGGAAAAATGAGTTGGCTGCAGGATACACCGATAGTGCTGCTGTGCCTCAGTTTCCCCGRGCCATTTCACCACGTTGTGTTTAGTGCTCCTCTGTGACTGACTTGTTGCAGCCGGCGCAGACATCCACGCGGAGCCATGAACTCGGCCTGCCCACTCCACGTGTCAGAGTAAACTACCGCAGCGGGTCGCTGACATACATCAAAACCAAGGCTGCCGTTTTGAATTCGCTGACTGATGAGCTCTGTTTTGGTGCTCCGTGGCTTTTGATAAGGAACCAAGGCAGCAGTGCAAGGCCTGAGACCAGTGGGGCTGCCTCATGGCCTCTCACCTGGTGGCAGGGGCTCAGTGGCCGAATTTTGGGATATGTCGCAAAGTTGGCTAGTAGCTTCCGTGATGGAGTTTGCTGGTGGGCAGSCACCCCCTTGGCTGGCATTAGGAGTGGCTTTGCTGATGCTTCGGAGAAGTGTCAGGGGCAGAGCACACAATTTGGGTTTGGGACGTTGTTGCCTTGAGCCTTGATGAAAAAATACGTTGATCTGTTACCTTATTTCCATTTAACATCACAGATTGATTTTCTATTTCCTTAGGATTATGAGGAACGAGTAACGGATGGAATTTGACATCCGGTGTGGAAATGCAGCGGGTGCTCCCCTGGTGGGATTCAGCAGGGTGCAGGCATGGGCCGTCCTAGTGCTTCGCCTCTGCAAGGTCTGCAGCACACGGAGGTCACATGGAAATGCTCCCATTTAAAGTTCAATGGCTGGCCCCTGATTTTCCCAGAAAGCAGGTCTGCTGCTGGGTAAGTACTTTTAGGAAGATGAGTCATGTAGGAGTAAAGGAATCCCATAATTTAAGACAAATACTTCAAGACATGTCTAGTAAAAGCTCATTATGGAGAGCGATGGGGAGGCTGTGACGCTGTGGCCGTGTCACAGGCCAAGAGAGTTTGTTTCAGTGGAGCTTGCTSGTACCTACTTTTACTGGAAATATCCCAAATTGCAAGGAAAAAAAGAAAAAGGCATAAAAACACCCAGAATCTGTGAGAAAAGCTCTATTGTCAGGAACTTGCCTGGTTTTGTACATCTTTTCACGTCTAGAACAAAAAGAGAGCTGCAGTATTGACTTCTGCACCCGCTCCTGTGAAGAATCTACAAAGCAGGTATAAAAGAAAGGTTAAAATGCAAATGACTGTAAATTGCAGCWATATAATAGCAGAAATGAAAACATTGCCTAAAACCTTGAAAAGGCTGCCTCCCTCTCCAGAAATGAGAGGAGCCCTCTCTCCCTGTCCGCTTTTATTACTGTAGGTGACAGGGTTTAGGTACCGTAACTGGTATTTAAGAGAGAGCTTTAACTATTGCTCAGAACGCCAGTCCGTTGAAATCCTAGGGCTTCTGCCAGTGACTGAGGTGGGATTCCTGCTTTGATGGTTTCATTAGGGTCTTCCTGCAATTTGGGATATTTTACTATCTGTGGCCTTTTCTTTTTGCAGTCTGAGAAGTGGCAAGCTGCAAAACCCTCCGTGTCTAATGTTAGGGAGTCCTAATACCTGRCAGCCCTGGTGCGGCTGCTTGAGCAGTAGTAAGAGCTCCGTTATTAAACACAGTGCTCTCGTTTTTAATACCACCAAGCAAGATGGCTAAAGAACTATTGAAAAGTGGAAGCTTTCTGACGCTTAAGTCCCCAATGCATCGTGCTTTTACGAGCACTTTTAGCATTTTAGGGGTTTTAGGGGTTGATAACATTTATCATTTATCATTTATCATTTAACTTATAACCCAAGCATCTGAGATGCAAAGAAGAGTGGCTTGAGTTCAGGCTGCTGCATGGTTTAAGAGAGGTTGGATGTTGGGTAGGTATAAAGGTGGTACAAGGTGTACAGAAGCGGAAGAGATAAAGTATTTAGATTTTTTTTCATCTGAAGATTTACTATATCCTTATCCGTAAATGTTTATGGTACCGCAAGGTGAGAAATGGGAAGCGCTTGTGAGGAAAGAGCGGGACTGCTGTATTCAGAGAAGGAGCTGCAATTGCCAAAATGCCCTAGTTTGTGTTTTTGACAATCTCATAATGAAACAATTTCCCTTCTGTGGAGGAATAACAGGTTTCATTGGAAACGTAACTGCTGCAAAAAAGAAGGAAAAAAAAAAAAAAGAAAAAGAAAAAAAAACCCCACTGTTTCAGAAGCATCAGGGCAAATTCTCTGATTAACCTAATTCACCTTTTCCCCTGCACATTTAATTGATGATTTTCTTGAGGTGTTTATTTTGCCCAAATTCATGGCCAAAAATCAGACTGTTTTCCTGGACAGCGAAGCGGTTTGCGCAGCCCTGCGAGCAGTCCCCAGGCGAGGCGCCGAGCGGCACCGCTGATAGAGTTGTTTTCATTAGGTACCTGAACACATTACGATAATTATGTCAGGCCTGAGCTTTTCCCATCTGCAGCCCAGCCTGATACCACTCTGATTAGAAAATATAAAACCTGCAGAGAACAGCCTAGAAATCTGAAGATGAGGGACCTGGAGCTTTACAAGAGCAAGGAAATGATGAAGCGGGTTCCTCATTATTTGGCAATGGGTCTAATCGGAGCTTTCAGCGTAACAAAAGCTTCACTTGACAAGGATTTATGTGATTTCTGTGCTACCCGATTCTGGGCAGGAAACCAACTTGGGCTGCAAATGCTTCTTTAAGTGGAGCTGCCTGGAAATGCTCAATAATGCAAACATTAGCATCTGTGGGGGTTTTATTTTCCGCCCTCTTAAGGATGTAGGTGACTTAAAATGAAAATGAAGAGATAAACTTTTAAGACCGGCCCGCATTGCGGATCCGGTCGCTCACCATGTGGTTTGGAAGAAGTTTAAGCCTTGTTTGCTTTGCAGGTGGAGGCCAAGCACATGGAAAGCAGAACACGACGCTGAGTTGGTGCAGGTTAATCTCGTACCAGTGTTGCCGATCAGAACTTTCTGGGGTRCTTTGGACAATAAAATACAGTTCTTTGGCAACCAGTTAACATCAATGCAAACGGAACTGCAAATTAATTTGGGAGAAGAAAGGCTTTGTGTCTTAAGTTGCTTTCAATTTTGGCCTCATTGCATTTCTTTAATGCACTYGGAAATTAAGGGGCAGCCTAAGAATTAAACCTTGAGGGGGTGCTGAGGTGTTAGGGAAGAGGCAGGAACAGGTGACGTGCCAGGTTTAGTGRCTGCTTCCCCACTAAAATGGCATTTATGCCTGACAAATGGCAATGATACGAAGAGTACGAGGTTCATTTCTCTTCATATAAATAACAACTCTTGCTATAGTGTAAAGAAAGGTGAGCTGTAACATTTTTTCGGTACTTTTGAAACATGGTATGTTAAACTTGGTTAACGTCTGTACTTTACAGCCTCCAAAGAGGCACCGCRTTGCGTGACTGAAGCAGGCAAAGAAGCACAGATTCCCATTTTAAATAGCACATCTTTATGTTCAGTTGATTCCTTTAATAATCACAAAATTTAACTATTTTTCTTCCTCTCTTTTTAAATGTTGCAATTATCTCCCGTGCAGGCTCTCCAATCTTGTCTCTGGAAGAGGCCATGAAATGCAAAGCGCTACTACTTATATCCCAGTTTGGTTGCATTATTAGCACAGGCGTTCTGCTCAGGTGCATAATGACATTCAGGGTGAGGCCACAGAGGATTATTAAAATTGGGTCGTTATGCTGGATTTCACTCTAAAAGATACCTGGGAATAGTTTTTTGGGGGAAAAAAAAGAAAAAGTTTATTCATTTTTATGAGCTGGCGTTCCTTGGAATCACAGAATGTGTTTGAGCATAGTTAATCATATGCAACCTACCATCTTTAATTAAAAAAGAATTACAAGCCAATTTTAAATGCTGATTTTGAGTTTTGAGTTCAATTATCAACCTTTGCAGACAAACCATTGGGGGAAATCAACCAGGAAATGTCTCTTCGATTTGCTAGTTATCAATAATACTTTCTGCACGATTACCAGGCAAGAGGCAGTGGTTTCTAATGAGCATTCATTATTTTTATTATAGGAAAAAAGGCCAAAAATTTATATAATATTCACAAGGCTCGTGCTTCTGAGGCATGTTGCAAATAGTTTCAGAGGTTAGGCTTGAGCTTAGAGATAAGTGGGTTTGCTGACAATTATGAAAATGACTCAAGTGTATCAAAACCCGGGAGATTTGTCATTTCTTGCGCTACGAAGGTCGGTGGCCGTGTGCTGGCCTGTCCCCGTTTGTACCCTGGGAATGGCCAAAGCGGCGCCCAGCGATGGGCCAGGAACTGTAAGTGAGAGGTCTTAGGGAGATGCCATTATAATCAGGAACCTAATAATTTATGAATTTTTTCATCAAGGACTTCAGAGGGCAGCCTGTGCTGACCCCGCTCAGCCCGCGCTGTGTGTTCAGTGTCCAGGAGCAATTTGTCACTAAATCCTCACCAAACACAGGCTGTAGTTGGGCAGGCTCAAAAGCATCCATGACAGTTTTAATCTTCCTCCAGGCGTCTTCAGGGGAACAAATGGCCGTGCCCAAAAGACATGAGGCCGCAGCAGCCACGCAGCAGACCCCATGGTGAGCAGCAACTCGTCATCGCAGCGCTGCTGGTTCCTGCTGCCTCCACGATGGGCTGGTCCTTGGCATCGCTCACAACAGTCTTCAGGTGTGGTGGTTCTCTAAACGTCTTGGAAGTTCAGATGATGCTCAGACAGAATAGGGAATACGAGTGTCACATTCAGTGTCTCTCTGTGTTGTTACAGAGAACATCTCTCTTCTTTGGGTAGAGAGGAAAAGGACACTGAAGTTCAAGAAATTTGTAGGCAGACTTTAAGTATATGTCCCCAGTTAGTCAGATGCTGTTCAGGTAACTCTCAGTGAGATATCTGAATCTTTGGAATTAATAAATGCTCTTTAAACAGCCCTTCTATAATGTTAGAGATGGCTCTCCAGATATCAGGGCTGTGAGATTGATGGGCTGCGCTGATGCTGATGCCATTAAGAAGACCTTCAGAGAGGAACAAGTAGCGTTGTGGAAGTGCTGTTCTAAATTAACACCTGACTTTGAAAGCAAATTGATGCCCCTTGAGATAATTGGAAAAGTTAGAAAACAATCACGGGAGAATAAATTGAGACATGGTGGGTGAGCGAACCCCAGATGAAGGAAATATTTCAATGCGCTTTCCATTGGGTGGAGACCTTCCTGCCATTGGGCTGGCTTTTTTACCCCACGTGGTGCCAGATCACCTTTGACTTGGTTGGATTCAAAAAATTACTGTAGAAGGGCTCTGRACTGCATGACCTTCCCTTGGCACCTGCACCAGCCATGTTATGGGGGAGACCCTTCTGTGCTGCGAGTGTCCAGGGCTTCATCTCGGGAATTGCTCCCAGGCACGGACTGACGTAGGAATAACCCAGCCCAAGGGACAATGGCAGGGAAGGGATCACAGTGACAGAGCCCTGACATTAGTGTGGGACACGTGGTGTTGAGAGTCTAATGTCCACAGTATTCCCAAAACCCACCCACTCCATGGCCTTGAAATTTGGTTTTACTTTATAGATCCTTGTRTATATCCTTGGTAATTGATTAATATGTGATTTATTTCACACTTATTTCATGACAATAGTAAT